TACCATCAAGATAAATTGATTCTTTACTTCAGCAACGTCTTTTTTAATGCTCACTACATCCTCCTTAATATAATTGATGTCATTATCGACCTTTTTCTGGTTAAAATTTATACTTTCTGCAAGTTGAAAAAGTAGCTAGATCAATTGTTAAAATCGATCAATATTGTAGTATTAATATTGTAACACTTATTTATAATCAGTAAATATTTACCTGATTCGTTTCCTCTTGATCAGTACGCAAGGCCAAATTATCTCTCTCGATTTGCGCTCTTAATTCGATGGTTATCGTAAATTTCAAATTGGACATGTAACCATCAAATTCTTTGGTAAGCTCTTTGAATCTTTCTTCTATCCCTTTGCTGACAAGATATTTTCTCAAACTATTAAGCTTACTAATTTCTTTGATAAAATCTCTAATATTTTTCATAGTACCAACCAATCTTCTTATAATAACATTATTAGGGCCAGTAAAAAACTCAGATCGTTCTTTTTCACGAATAATCAAGTTTTTTACTGCGGCCTCGGCTGCTTGAACCCTGTCGAGTAGCACACCACAAATTCTTTTGTTTGTATAAGCGGTTTTATATAAGTCAGTAATATCATTAGAAATATTAGCGATTTCGTGAAATAAAGGTATGAATATTGCTAAGGGGATGACTACGGTCTGTGCTAACTCGTCCATTTTCAATTATATATATATCTGATATATATATATATTTTTGAATTAAAGAAAAAAAAGAGTGTCGGAAGAGAAATTGCTGTTAATGTTTTCAAACTGCTATAAAATTTTATCGTTATTTACTGCAATACTGTATCATTCATTTTTCCATAATAAGAGTAGTACACTACTAATGTCTTGACGCAGCAAGTGTTTATAAACAAAGTCTTTCGGTAATCTACACAACTGTAAATCCACATAATTGCGTAACCAACTCTTTTTATGGATTACCAGTCATATTTGTGCAATTATTCAATGAAATATTTTGTGAAAGTGGAAATTTTATTAGGTGATACTTTTTTTTATGATGAAACAATTCATAAAACTATTCTTATACCAAAAGTGTAGCATATTTCCCTCTTTCGATTATGGGACAATCCAGTAGTTCTGAATCACCGAGGAATTGGACCAGTGGCAATCCCGAGATTGACAAATTTATTCAATATAGTCAAGATACATCGACCTATCCATTAGAATGGATTTCTTACCACGAATTTTCCAATATTAAAAAAGTTGGATTGGGAGGATTCGCCAGTGTTTATTCTGCTTATTGGGAAGAAATATACGGGGTAGTCGCTCTCAAAGTGCTTAAAGGATCCCAAAATATTTCTGATGAATTTATGAATGAGGTATTGTAAAGTTGTTATAAAGTAATTTTCAACAAATTGAGGTCAAAATTGATTAAAATTTTTTAAAAAATTTACATAGTTGAAGGCATATTATAAATGCTTTGAGAATAGAAAATTTGGATTTCTTAGATGTTATGGGATCTCTATGGACCCAAAAACTGGATGTTACATTCTCGTATTGGATTATATGCCAAAGCACGATTTACGTCATAACTTGCATAATTTAGCACAAGAAGTTTGGGAAGAAAAGCTTATTGTTTTAATAGATATTGTAAAAGATCTTTATAACATCCATGAAAATGGATTTATTCATCGAGACTTACATTCTGGAAATGTATTAATAGATGAAATGAATATCCCGTACATTGCTGACATGGGACTCTCTTGTCCAACAAGTCCAGAAGCAGGAATGGAACTTTCTCTCTATGACAATCCAGAAACATCCTCTGAAAACAGCTCTGGAATTTCCAGCACCTCTAATTCGGGGGGTGTATATGGAGTATTACCATACATTGCTCCAGAATTGTTGCGTGGAGGGCAATTTACCAAAGCAACGGATATTTATTCATTTGGCATTATTATGTGGGAAATTTCATCCGGAAAACCGGTATATTCTGACCGTGAACATGATGTAAGTCTTAAATGGGAAATTATTGATGGATTACGTCCAAAAATTGCAGAGAATACACCAAAATGCTATGAGGAATTGATGAAAATGTGTTGGGATAAAGATCATAATAAAAGACCAACAGTTGAAGTATTGCATGATATATTCACACAATGGAG